CACTGTCTCCTATGGGTCTCTTATTTTATTCATTATAAGGAACCTTTCAGCAGCTTAGTTTATTTCTTGTTTCTTTAGTTCTCACTGTGTTCTCACACTTATACGATTACACTCGACAAAGAAACATCGGGAGAGTGCTCCCTCCTTCCCTCTCTCGGGAGGGAGTGAAAACACTTAATAGGAGGGTTGAAGATAAGGGAGACAAATAGATGAATGGTCTGGAGAGACTTTGGTTTTAAAAATACAAACAGACAAAAGTAAAAATCCTGTGAGCAGTGTGTGTGGGGAACAGGAGATTAATGAAATAAAAGGCAAAGTGAACAGAGTGAGAAGTGAAGTCTATATCCAAACAGCCATTCATGTTATAAACCTTTGTTTTTTGTGATGATGAGAATGAGAAAACCATTTGCCTCTTGCATGAAGGCAAAAAACCTGAAATTATATTTAAAGGTCCAGTGTGTTACATTTAGGAGGCCATATTGTTACCTTAGAAAAAAGCGTTTATATTGTGAGACGCTGCGGCTCGTCTTCTATAGAGTGCCATGTTGAACCACCATGTTCCTACAGCAGCTCAGGAGGGACAGTGAAGCGAGGAACGATTTTCAACTGGACATTTTAGTTTGGTTTCTCATTCTACAAAACGTCTGTTGTTACAATTATAAGATTAGGATAAATTCTCAACAGATGGGAATGCTGCAAAAATCTTTATTTCTGAAAGAATCTAAATTCAGTCTGAGTCATGTGTAGTGAATTAAACAACTCAAATTCCACAGGTATTGCACCAAACAGGACCACTTTTATAAACGTTGTCTGTCGTCTGGGCAATTTTACACATTCACCATCACACCGGTCAAAATGTGAAATTTTCCTTTATCAGACGAGGACAAAAACGCCATCAAGGAACCAGACATTAAGTGATACCCTCACACTGTCACACAGGATCATCAAAAGGTTAAAGGTTAAAATAAATGAGATTCGTATGTGCTGGGTGTCTGCTCTGTTGGATTATTCTACCATCTCCACACACAACACTCCTCTGTTATTACACCTCATGTTTCTCCCTGTCACATTAGTTTAGCTCACACTGGTTGCATTTTCTGCTTCTTTCTTCCTCCTCTCTCAGCTCAGGGCCTCAGTCCAACAAGGTTCTCATTATTGAACTGCCACAATGGGCTTTGCTGTTACCCAATACACATACACACTGCATACTGTTTGTGCAGTAGCTATTTGTGTGTGGTTGCTTGTTAGAGAGAGAAGGCTGCAGTGAGTGAGCCTGAACTTTTGACATCCAATGGAAATTAGAGAGGTGTGACTCTAGGATCGGGTAGCAACCCCACACTTTTTTTTTTGTATAGGATTGACTCAAATCCCTGCCAGCTAGAGCTGCAAAAGGGGCTGTATAACAGGAGAAACTGCCAGAACAACCTCAGAGAGAGAGAGGGAAGGAGCAACGTGTAGGCTACCAGACTAACCCCGTGCAGAGCTTTGCAACTCTGAGCCAAGCACAATTGCCATGTCCTCCGTCGAGTACATTCATTACCGTGGCATTGACGTGCCCACTGAGGCTCATACCATGGAGAGCTTGGAGTACGCCCAAAATTTCTCTGTGGAAGACACCGATGTGTTTTCTGTGACTTACCCCAAGTCAGGTACAGTGTATTAATTCTCATTTCAGTTACTTCTCTCCTTTCAGCTGTCCCACTAATTCTTAGGGGATGTAGCATGATTTATGTGTATTTGTCCATATTGTCTCCAGATAGAGGCAGCATACATGTGAATACACGAAAATTCACCATGGTACATCATCAAAGTCTGTGTAGATTAAAAAAATAAATAAATAGATAACATGAGTGGCCATGTACTGGTGATGCACCAGATGTACGGACTCTCAATCCGGTGCTTAGAGCACCAAAAACATGCAGGTACAGCAGGGGTGAGCAGCATCAGAAGTATGTACGTAAACTTTATTTATAAAGCCAAAACCAAAGTTAGAAGGTGCTGTACCAGTGCCAACATGTTAAAACTGTAAGTTATAATATAAATAAAACAATAAAAATGTACACAGAGAGCAAACAGAGAACTACATAGAACACAGAAACACATTACAGACAAAGTGCCTCTGAAATGGGGGACTTTCTAGCAACTTCTCAAAACTACCGACTGACTGTGTTTTCTATAACTAGGAGAAGACAGTTGCAGAGAGTGGGAGCCTAACTGCTCGCCGCGGTCACATCTGGTTTTAAGCATAGATTTCAGGACAGCCAGGCGGCCTTGGTCCAAGATCTCACCGAGGGCAGGGACACAAAAATTCAGAAAGATAAACTGTGTAGTGCTTGACAGGTGATTAAAATAATTTTAAAATCAAGTCTGAATTCAATGGGTATTCAGTGTAGACTGGCCTACACTGGTGTAATGTATACAATGTGTGTAAGTTAAAGGTCTAGCAACCCCCTTTTGGACCAACTGGAGCCAAAACGCAGCAGAGCAACTTAGGTTGATGAACAGTGAATTACAATAATCAAGACTGGAGGAAACAAAAGGACAGGACTGGACCATTCATGCGCCAGTCAGAGTTCATATGTTGGTCAAACTAACTCTGACTTAACATGTGCTGCTTAAAGGACCAGAAATGCTCTCAGGGTCTATAACTTTTGTCCAGTCCTTGATAGCTGATAGTCAGTATGGCAGGGTAGATAGAAAGAACAAGTATAGCTGTGTTTTGTCAGCATCACTGCGATAAGAAATTCACTTAAATTGACAAATTAAGAAGGGAGGGGGACGACTAATAGGAGGTAAACCAGTCAAGAGCAGTCACTGTCATACCCAACCACTGCTGACATTCAGTCAAATATAATTAAAACCCTGAGCAGGGCAGGTTCAGTACTGTGCCTCAAACAAAAAACAGACTGGGATTTCAGTTGTTTACAAAGTTTCCAAGACCTTAGAATTAAAAGTAAGTTTGGCTATAAGTCTATATTTACTGCAAGAGTGGCTGAATAATTGCATGATCAGGAGACTCCTGATCTCTGTGTCTTCTTATTCACTGTGTGCATTTTACATGGACTGACTGCATGGATATTTCAGCTCATTTCAATAGTTCTTATGTATTCATTTTAATTGTTTTGTTAATACAAATAGTAAAAGAGACACCGGGTCCACCATTGCATCATTAAATTAAATGGACACACATTAAGACATTAGTGTCAGGTGTATATAACCTACCGTGGAAACAGGTGCTGCTAACATCTGTGGACAGTGGATAGAAGGACAGATGATGGATCAAACTAAATGAGCTAACAGGTTTTCTGCTTGTAGTTCATAATCTCTAAAAAACAACATGCAGTGTGTGTTTGTGTTTGTGTGTCCAATGCGGTAAGTACGGTGGCCCTGAGGT